TAAATTTTCTGTTTTAAATCTTTTTTTATTTGTACTACTGAGCAAGTAGGGAGAATTCCAACCGCTTATAAAGCTGTAGAATGGTTCTGCTGAAATGGGGGGGGATTTAAATTCAAATAAAATTTCTTTGCATAAATGCTCTCTTTTTAAATTTTTTTTTTAATTCTAATTATTTTTTAATTCTAATTTTTTTTAATTCCAATATAAATTAAATCAATTTTTTTTCCATTTTTTTTTAATATTTTCTATACTCATATACTATATTTCTTTTAAATTTTTATTTTTTTTCACCATGTTTCTGATATGTGACTTCCAACCTTATCTTCTTATACAAAGAACTTTCTGTTTTTCCTAGGTCCACCCTGACCTGGAGTTTCAGCACCCCAGCTATGAGCAAATAGTGAGCACCCCCCTCCACAAACAAAAATGCTATAAAAGTATAACTATACATTTTAATAGTAAAAATAACAGCTATACATTTTCCTATAAAAAAAAGGACCAACAATACATAATCAGCAATACATTTTATGTGTAGAATTGTGTTCAATATATTTAGGGTTTGACAATATTCAGCTTCTTAAACTCTCTGCCTTCGGACAGGGAGCAACCCAGACGAGGTTATGTCAAAGGGCAGAGTCTCATCTGGAGAGGTAGACAAAACCGACCCTGTTATTACGGGGTCTACAGGGAAGTTTTGCCTAAACCTACCATCTTGGAACACCCAACATAAAAAAACAGCTTTGTGCCACATCCCACCTTGTGGAGAGGATTTAAATATATACTTAATTGAAGCCATAAAATTATGAACAAAATATTTATATTTTGGTATTAAATAACCCATAGAGTTGTTGGTATGCCGCTAAACAAAACCAAACAACCAACATTAACTTTCATGACATTAATCAATATAATATCCTACAATTTCTTAAATCAAACTATTCCAAAATATAACTTAAAAAAAAAAATATGAAATACAATCAACGCCTCAATTAATTATGTCCACACACTTGTATATGCACAAAAGCTGAGTATCATCTGCCATGTATCCAATTGTGAAAGCAGAATAACATAGCATATTCCCAAGAAAATTAAATTTTGATATTAGACGACCCATAAGGAGTTGATATACTGTTAAACAAATCAACAAAGAGCTTTCATTTGCCTGCAACCAAACTGGCACAGTTGAAAAATTGTTGCCCAAATACATATTCTTTGTACAATGGCCAGTTGCTAGGCTAGCTAACTAACCCCTTTTACTGATCAGGTATTTGTATTTGTCCAACATCCTCCAAACCAATTAGTGGTTTTTGAGAGAGAGAGAGAGAGAGAGAGAGAGAGACAGTGGGTGGAGGCAGAGGGGAAAAAAAACAACAATAAAAACAAAAAAAAGTAATTAAATGAGCAATTTCAGCTAACCAGTTTCACTCACAAGTTTTGGATCAAACCATAGTATGGTTTTTAATCACTTTCCAACATTGTAGCATGCTGGGGTTAACTCCCTACACCAATATTATCAAGAAAAATAATTGACAAATTAGCCATAATGAGATTCAAACCCAGCTCTCATGGTTGGAATAGTAATGCACTATGCCATCTACCCACCCACTTGTGGAAATTAGTGATTAAAACACCCTGTCTAATAATATTCAGACAAGAAGTGTTTTATACTGTTTATGGTAATACAGCAAAATATGTTTACAGATTCTCTTAGAATTAATGAAGAACTCCAAGAAATTCCTTTTCATATGCATCATGCAAAGAAACAATTATTTCCATGTGTGCCATGTGTATTTGTTTCTTCATTCCATGATAGGAGAATGCTACACAATGTCAGTTATTTAATAATTTCTTACTTGAAAAATAAGTTTCAGTTTTCCCTTCTCTTCATAAGTTCTGTCAGCAAAAGCTGCCAGTAATTTTTTTTTAAATTGAAAAAAATGAAATAGATAAAGGATCTTCAACTATCAATCAATGTCTACTTTTGAAAGAAGAGGTTACTTGGAATTTTTGTACACACCTCATATTATTCCATGAAAATAAAATTACTTCTTTGTTGAGAAAGATGCATTTTATTCATTTATAGTAGCAACAGGATTTGGTGTTCAAACCTGAGTACAAATGTACTTTTTTTTTTCTTAAGACTTTTCTTACTTGGAAGATTGGCCCTTGTGCTGTGCTCAGCTATATATAGTAAATGTTATCTTTTTTTTTTTTTTAACAATGTTGTTCACCCTGTACAAGGCTCAAGAGTCACTCAAGTTAGAGGGTTACAGAGTAAGAGGTACAGTTTTGGGGGATATGTGAGGAGGATAATGGTTGACCCTAGACTTGAACAGGTTAAGATTGTAGTGATTGGGGAAGCATCCTCATGAGTGCCCATTTCCAAAAGCAGTGGTTCATGGGAACAAGCTGCTTGAGTTGAACTTACATCTAACCAATGGAATAGTAAGGAAATGAGGGTGGTTTACTATAATGTGTGTGACATGGTGAATCTTAGCTGTGAAGGTTAGAAATGGTGGAACCAAGGAATGTAGTTTGAACATTTTTCATGGAAATGTCAATAGAGCAGTAAGAGATCTGCGACATTTCATCTTTGAGAAAGGAATTGCAGGGTGGAAAATAATTGATCACCCACAAGGACGCGGAGATGCTTTTGGACTCTATTGAGACTGGAAAGAGAAAACTGGGAAGTTCCTGTCCATATATGGTAGATGTATTCCATTTTCAGCTTGATCTGGCTCTTGTAAAGGTAGAGGATAGCTAGAGGGCTCAGGTACTTACAGGAGCAATACAGGGAACTTATCATTTTCCAAGTATCTTTAGCAAGTGATTGCTTGTATGAGTTTCACTTGTGATCTTGGGCTGAGTTTAAGTCCCAATAGGCACTCAAGCCACAGGACCTCACTGAGGGAACACCTGTTCATAATCTGTGAAAATTCTGGGTCCACTTAGTGATGATGGGACATCACTACAAGTTTGGTTTTTGAGGCATTGAATGTGACCTGCCAGTTTTTTTTTGTTTTTTTTTTTTGAGATGTTAGGGCAAGGTCAGAGGAGAGATTGGCTGATCATAAGATAATATTGTTGCATCATCGAGGTGAATGATACACAGAGAAGAATGAGTGCTTAGTATATTTATCCAGTACCAGTATCTGGTACTAATGGATACATACAAAAAACACAAAAACAATAAGTTACACAACAATTAACAAGGAATAGAGGGGGGTCAAATGCTATATAACCAAACGAAGTAAGATCAGTCCGAATATTAATCAGCTTAGTATCAACTTAGTAATCAATTGTTGAAGTCCTTAATCATAGACTATTTAAAGCTATGAGCCATGCCATCTGGTAGAGTGCTGAAGGGGGGATAGCTACTCTATAACAAATATGCAAAAGTCTGTTTTTAAATTTATATTTTTAGAGTGTTACTGTAAGCTATGGGATATTCACAGGCAGAACTAAAAAATATAAGTTGAGATTTTTTATCTATTTTTTTTTTAATTTTAAATTATTATTGGAAAATTATTTTTAAATGTTTAAAAGTTCAAAGATATTTTTAATTTTTGTTGTTTAAACTTTTTGTTTTTAGATATTTTGTTTTCATGATTTTGGAGAGGGGGTTAGTTTATTTTGTTTTTTGGGGGTTTGAGTTTTATTTAAAGAAATATTGGCTTGTGAGTTGATCGATTTTTATACAAAATGATATGATTTAGATTAGAGAATGAGCATCAAATCATGTTGACTAGTGGGTAGGGAACACTTTTTATTGTGACTATAAACTTTAAAGTAAAATTTGTCACTAAAATAAACTAATAACAAAATGTTCAGGAAGAATCAGAATTAAGAAAAATAATTATAACTAGCAGTAAAGCCTGGCATTGCCCAGGAGTAAATTTCCTCTGAATGGAAGGTCATAACTGCCATGCTCATTTTGTACACACATGTAAGGCTGAAGAACAGATGGTCGCCTATGTAAAAAACGTAATGTACACAAGTTGTCAGTATTCATCAGCACAACAGAAGAAAAAATTGTAAGGCTTAAAAGGAAGCAATGGACAGCCATGGTAGCATCAGCTGTTTGCCATTACTAAGACACCTCAAATTAAAAGTTGTCAAGTTCAATACAAACATGGGCCTTAGGAAGTTTTTGGTGAGTTGTGGCAGATGACTTTGTATTCTGATGGGATGGTTTTATTATCCCTGAGTGCAAGACATTACATGAAGCCCTGTGTCAGTTGCAACATAGTAAAACGCAATAGCGTGAAAAGTAGATGCGTCTTTTGTCCAAAAGACGACACTGCCACTACCGCAAACAGAACCACACAACTGAAGTATAGAAAGGTGCCGGGTGAGTACTTGTAAGTGGCACAAATTTTTTTGTAGTTTTTAATAGCCAGTTGAGGTGAGCATGAAGTGCACGTAGCGTTACCTAAAGCAGCCCTTATGGTAAGGGGAGAAACACACCAATGGTGTACAGCTGAGAATGCATATTATAACTCTGCATGCTTTTATTCTTTTATTATCCCACTTCTTTTTGCTGAGGCCTGAATTGCGTGGATGACTTAACTTCACTGACAATTAAATGAATCTACCTTCCCATGTATTGGTTTTGTGTTGCAACTGAATATGGTTACATGGTCGATATGTAAGTGCAAATACAGCTATAGTGATAAGGGAGCATCTGGTGAGCAAGACAACCTTTAATTAAATGTCATCATAATGGTAAGTGGATACTACAACGACCTTTAAATAAACCGGGTTCAAAAATGAAGGAACCTACGATGCAGCCATCAAAACCTCCACAGGAACCTTAGCAGTAACTGTGTCAAATTTGGTTGAAATTGGTTGAAAAATGTAGGAGTTTTGATCAAACATATAAACAAACACACGCACACACATTCTGCCTTTTATATATGTATTGATAAAACAGTTTTTTTTCCCCTTGTAATCAAAAATATTATTGTCTTAATGTTCAAGGAAATTTTTCTTTATTTTAGGACAGCGGTTAATTCTCAAAGTAGTGTAAAAACACCTGCAGGTGGAATTATTACAGGTAAGTTGAACTTCATATGCAATACCAATATCTTTCTTTACTTTTATATATATATATATATATATGCATCCTCATTATGACAATAAACTACACCTGGCAACAAGTCCTCTGATCAGGAGGTTTTGAGGAATATCGACCACCTCTTAATTGCTGTTGTTACCAGGTCCATCCTGACCCAGGGTGGACACACTTGTTAGGATCCCAACTGTGCACAAATAATTAACCCTCACACTGGGGTCAAAATATTATGAATGTTTAAAAATACCAGCAATACATTTTAGTCAAATTTTTGAAAAAAATTACCAGTAATACATTTTTGTAAAAGAAATTACTAATTAAATGACCCATAAGGACTTAATATATCACTAAAACAAACAAATAAACAACCCCCTCACACACACACACACACACACACACACACTGGATCATGATTATGATTTCAATGTAATAAATTATAACCATGGAATATTAATGTTTAAGCCTTTTATATTATATTGTTACTCTGTCTTAGATATTGTGCTCTACCTGGATTCTATCCTCTTGAAAATTATATATATATATATATATATATATATATAGACCACTAATATTATCTATCTATCTATATATATATATATATATATATATATATATATATATATATATATATATAGGGAATTAATGGATTAATTTTAATCTCACATTTTTATTACTTCTAACATTATTATAATGGATACTTGTATTTGAAATAGATGCTCCATTATTGATTTTTACTTTAAACGGTGTGTATTATATCTATTCCTTATTGAGATTTTTAAAATGTACATACCAGTAGATACATTGTTTGAAATAAGAATAAAAAAATGGGGCATCTATATCAAGTAAAAATATCCACTATAATAATGTTTGTAATGTTTATATATATATAATTTTTATATTTAAACTAGTCATATTTATTTTTGAGGTCTATGTTTTTTAATTTATTTAAAAGATCACCTGAGTTTTTTTATATGCAAGGAGCTAATTGTACGAAGAATTAGGGTTAAGATTTTGGTTAGTTTGCTGGTTAGTTTATGTGGGGTGCTGCTTATTCCTGGTGGGTCTCATCAGGATTTCTGGTAATCCATAAAGTGTGGGTGTTTTCAAGTGGTGTTCAATGACTTTTGACCAGGAAAAATGAAGATGATTTCTGTATGCTCTGGCCTTCTTCAGGTGAAATTTGTTGGAATTTTGAACCAAACCATTTATTTAGTCCATGGGGGTTGGTTGATCTAATTCCATGTGCTATGCCTGGTTAATTGATCCAAAAGTGACTTTAACCCAAAAGAGTCTCCAAGCCCTTGTGTGTGACCCCACCCTTCAACCCTTCTTCTACAGCCCAGATGTGGCAAGCCTCTCACTACTCTACCGCTACTTTCATGGAAGGTGCTCAGATGAACTATATCCCCTGGTCCCACCAAAGCAAACCTTCACAGCAAGAACAATGCATACCACTTATATAGTAGCAAACCATCCACATTCCTTTCATATTCCATCAGTGAGAAGTAAGGTCCACTCGAGCAGCTTCTTCCCACAAACCACTGCCCTGTGGAACTGACTCCCAACAAGATGTTTCTCTGATCACTAAAATTTTAACCTGTTCAAGGCCAGGATTAACCAGTATCTTCCACTCCTATACTCACAAATAGCCACCAAATGTAACCCTCTACTTCAAGTGGACACCAGGCCTTGTAAAGGGTGAACCTTGCTGTAAAAAAAAAAAAAACTGTGTTGTCATTTCAATCCTTGTTCTCAGTAGAGAGAACAAAAACTTGGAGAGTTATCAAGAGGAATTAACTAAAACTGTGATATCAAAAGGCATGGTACATGGAATTAGAACAATCTACCCCTGTGGACTAAATAAAGGGTTCAGTTCAAAATTACAACAAATATCACCTGAAGAAGACTGGAGCATACAACAGCTGAAACATTATGAATATGGCAGTAAAGATGACCAATGTAAATAGTGTAAATAGTTACAATACCTTATCTCAGAAATAGAGAAAGATGCTGAAGAAGGCAGGAGCGTAGAACAGACGAAACATTGTGAATATGGCAATAAAGATGAAGACAACACTCCAAATGATGTAAATAGTGTAAATAGTTACAATACCTCATCTCAGAAATAGAGAAAGTTGCTGAAGAAGGCAGGAGCGTAGAACGGCCGAAACATTGTGAATATGGCAATAAAGATGAAGACAACACTCCAAATGATGTAAATAGTGTAAATAGTTACAATACCTCATCTCAGAAATAGAGAAAGTTGCTGAAGAAGGCAGGAGCGTAGAACGGCCGAAACATTGTGAATATGGCAATAAAGATGAAGACAACACTCCAAATGATGTAAATAGTGTAAATAGTTACAATACCTCATCTCAGAAATAGAGAAAGTTGCTGAAGAAGGCAGGAGCGTAGAACGGCCGAAACATTGTGAATATGGCAATAAAGATGAAGACAACACTCCAAATGATGTAAATAGTGTAAAATAGTTACAATACCTCATCTCAGAAATAGAGAAAGTTGCTGAAGAAGGCAGGAGCGTAGAACGGCCGAAACATTGTGAATATGGCAATAAAGATGAAGACAACACTCCAAATGATGTAAATAGTGTAAATAGTTACAATAACTCATCTCAGAAGTATAGATTAATGTTTTTCTGTATATAAAATTTTGTTTTTAATTTTCTATTATTTTGATTTCCATTATCTTCTTCAGAATAATTTATTTGTCACCTTGTATACTAGTTCAAAAAAAACTATTTTCTTCTGTATGCTGTGCCTCTTCAGGATGTGAAAAATCATGGCTCTTCACAACTCCCTATACTGCTTATAAAGGACAACAAAAGTCTGTTTTCATTTTAGCATTGCCATATTATTGAAATCTTGCCTCCCAAACTTCATCTCAACCAACAACAATTTGTGGTGCTAACTGGTACTGAAACTACTAAGAGCCACAGGAAATACGAAGTTGTGAAGAGCCATGATTGCCTATATCTTGAATGGACATGGCACATAGAAGAACTGGTGGTACAAAATCACAAATACCAAATTAAAAAAAATAAAACCCTTATAAGACAATATTTATGCTCAGAAATGCAGAAGTAAGCGGACATGTGTTTGATAGATTAAGCAAAGGTGTTCAATAAAGTATACCACAAAGATCTGTTACAGCTGCTCAACAATCTTGAGATATTCAGGAAAGATATTAGAATAATCAAGAATCTATACTGGCAGCAAACTGCCTGCATACAAATATAAAAGGAGTTCAGCAGATGTACAAAAATAGAAAGGAGTGTAAGAAAAAACAAGGCTGTATCTTCTCATTGCATTTATTCTACCTATTTTTATACCTATACCTAATATACCTATATTCTGAGAAAATTAGAAATCTTACCAGGATTCATTGTTGGCGGCCATAGTCTGTATCAGTTGTCTAAAATCATTACTGCCATTAATTTTCAAAATATATTAAAAAATTTTCCAAAGCTTTCTAAAATGTTTATATAAAACTTATGTGGAAAAAGTCTAGAAGTCTCATTTCAGAAAATAAATACAAACAAAAAGCACAAAAAATGTTTACAGTCAGATAATAAATCTAAAACAAAAACATATATTATAAAACAAAAGATCATTTAAGCTGACCCTTTTACACAAGATCAAGAGCATCATGAAAAGAATGAGGTGGAAACTCTTCTTCTTTCAAGAACGAATATCACAACTTAAAAGATGCTGAGCTATGAATTTAAGTCCCAAATAACACGACCATGCAACAATCTATTATTGGACCTTGCAAAAGATCTATTCTCAGTAATAGACAAAATTAAATTCACTAAAACTATCAATGATCTATAGCAAAAAATGCTAAAGGATGTTTTTATGATCAAAAAATCTGACAAAATAATTATCCAAGCAGATAAGACAGGTAACCATTACAAAATTGATGCGGTTATGTACCATAAAGCTATTAACGAGGAAGTTAATGAGTTTTATAAAAAGACACCCAACAACTGGGAAAATAATATCAATAGTGAAGCCAAGAAAATAGCTACTGAATTAAAAATTGATGATAGGATCTACAAATTCCACAAACAACAAGTTATCACAGTTAAAGACCACAAGGCAAATTTCCTAAACAATCCTCAATACCGATTCAGTCTTTCTTTTTATGTGCTATGTCCTTTCACTTCCTCCTATCAGTTGCAGCTCTCAACAAGTTCCTTCCCTCTGCTTCCTCCCCAAGACCACTTTCTGTCATCCACTTGCTTAAGCCTACCAGGTATGTCATGTATTGTCTTCCCTTGTGTCTCTTTCCTTCTATTTGACCCTTGAGCATCAGATTCTCCAGGCCCTCCTTCCTCATTATGTGTCCCAGAAACTTCAGCTGCCTCTTCCTGATATTAAGTATAAGCCTCCTCCATGTTTGTATCATTTCTAAGACCTCATCGTTGCTCACACTCAGTGCATGATACCCTTAGCATCCTTCTAAAGAACCACATCTCCGTCGCCTCGAGTCTCTTCATTTTTGAGAAAATCATCTAACATTTGCTGCCGTAAAGAAGGAAAGATGTCATGTAATAGCTCAGTATTCTTTTCTTTGTTACCAAAGAAACCCTCCTGTCTCGTAATACTCTGCCCAGGTTTTGGAATACATCCTTGGCCATCCTAATACACCTACGGATCTCAGTGTTGCACTTATTATCCTCTGTCAAAACGCTTCCCAGATATTTAAACTTCCATGTCTGCTTGATTCTAGTGTTCCCAACTTGCCAATCAAATTTCAGGCTCATCCTCTTACTGATGACCATGCATTCTGTCTTCTTGTAGTTTATGCTTAGTCCTTTCTTCTCACTCTCCATCGCTACCTTCTGTAGGAGATTTTGTAATTTCTTTTCTGTGTCTGCTATCAGTACTGTGTCATCTGCATATCTTATGTTGTTAATATTGTGGTTGCCAATGCTAAATCCTGGTAGGGTTTCCAATTCTCTCAGAATTGTCTCGCTGTATAAGTTGAAGAGGTTGGGTGAAAAGATGCATCCTTGCCTTACACCTCTTTCTATTTTTGTATATTCACTGAACTTGTTCCCTATGCACATGCATGCTGTTTGCTGCCAGTATCACATTGGTAAAATTGGCAAAAATATACTTGAATGACTTCAATAATAATTAATTATGGTAATGTCCAGGGGTCTGACCATTAAACCATAATAACCTGATTCAATCTTTATTTATTTCTATTTACTTTTATTTTTTACAGGTACTGTGGTTATTATCGCTTTAATTCTTCTTACACCTGCATTCAAGTATATTCCAAATGCAGCTTTAGCAGCTATTATCATGAGTGCAGTCCTTCAGATGGTCGACTTTAAAATTATACAAAGATTGTGGAATATACAGAGTAAGTAAATGTAAATTATCCCTGTCTGAATTTCTGTGATGAGGAATTATTATTTATGCTATTTAAATTCAGACTAATGTCCTCGTCTTCATTGTTTTACATGTTTCAACCATTGACCCTCTGGCCTTCATCAGGTGTATATATCGATCCAGGTAACTTACAGGGTATTCCAAACTGAACTCTTTATTTAATCTATGAGGGTAGACTGTTCTCATTCCACTGCCCTAATCATCCCTAGACCTGGGTGGTGGATTAAATAAAGAGTTCCGTTTGGAATTTCATGGAAGTTATTCAGATCAATATACACCTGATGAGGGCTGGCGAGCACAACGGCTGAAAGATTGTGATAACAACAACAAAGATTTGGACACTAGTCCGAATGTAAATAATGCAAATTAACTATTTTATTTTGTTTACTCATGTATGACACATAAGACAAATTTGGGAAGAAATAATAAGGTTTTTTGGGTTTTTTTGTGTTATGTGCTTTCTTTTGTTTGTTTTTTGGGTAGCAAATAAATGACTTACTGAAATTTTATTTGATACTAGAAAATTTCTCCGATTTTTCCTATTTGAATTTTCTGATGAATCTTAATTCTTCAGTTAATGATTGAATAAGCTCATGTTAAGTTCTACAACAATAAAATAGCAGTAGAAGTTCCCCTATTGCATTGTTAAATATTTGAGCTTATCTAAGATAAGACGAGGTCAAAAAATATAGCAAATTTTTATGAATTTATCCTATACCTGTAGTATAAGACAACTACTTATTTATTATATAAAGATGATGTTATTGGAAATGTTATTACTTACTGTATCATAAGAAATTCAAAATAAACAAAATAACAAAACCAATTCTATATCATGTTTTACCTACAAATGTCTCCTAAAAGGGAAATCATTGTTTTGTTTACATTTCATCATGTGATCTCTTGTGAATACTGATTCTTTTTCTATATCTAAACAGTTACAAACAGCCTGGTGTACAAATGGCCATTTACATATACTTCATCGACAATAATGAATTTTTAATAAGAAATTAATATTATGTTATCCTGTGACACTGTGAAGTTGTTAAACATTAATTCTAAGCTGGAAAAGAAAAAGGTTAACCAAAATGTAATTTAGGCTGGAAGATTGAGAGAGAAAGTAGAGACATTTTCCTCGGTGAGAATGGGATGTCTGGATTTCTTCTCTCCTAAAAGTTTATTTTTCTTATCTGTTGAGAGTCTGGCATGTGGACAAAAACAGATTTGGAAAGATGGCTTTATCCCTTTGAGAAATTAGAGAAACACATATTTTTCTTAATGAAAACAGAATGAACCCTTTTTCTTAGGGTTGAAGTTATGTAAAATCAATCATGTCATGCCAAGAAGATGATGTGGTTTGCCAGGGATGGAAAACAGACTCTCTTTGTTAAGAATTTAGGTAAACAAATATATTTTTATTGATGAAAACAGATTTAGGAAATAATTTTTATCTATCACAAGGTTGAAATAAGAATAAATTTTTTTTAACAGGTCAGATGTACTGTATGATTAAAACTTGAGTTATGAAAACAAATTCTGTCAGAGATGGTCTGGTTTGTATCTTCGTTGGACAGAGATGGTTCCAGGAAAATGGAAAAGATTTGAAGAATTAAAATTATGGCTGGAATGGAACTCCACCCCTTCTCCTACACATTTTAAAAATTAGATTTGTCACAAGGACAGTTATGCATGCACTGGAAAGTGGGCTGAGGTTGGATACCAAGAAGGAGGGCGGAAGGGGGCAGAATTTAGCCCCACCTCTGCAAAGTAGTGGTGCAAGTTGTGAAGTAGAGGAGTTTGGAATTAAAGGAGAAGCAATCCCTATGACTACTTCAAAAGAAGGTGGATAATTCTCCAAATTTAGAAAATTAATTAAGAAAACAGAAATAGGGAACAAAGAAAAACCTTATTTGAATTAATGAAAATTAAAGAATCAATGAACCCCTAGAACCCTTTGACCACACCAGTTTTGTACTGAAGTGCTTATAAGCAAATGACTTTGGGTAGCTCAAACTTTGGGCTGAGATCCTACATTGAGTGCCTCTGAAATTCATGCCAGCTGCCAACCAGAATTCTTGATTCCAAGACTCTGTCTAAACTTTTGGAAGGGTGGGTTCAAGCCCAGTGTCACTAGAGAGATTGATACAAGAAGGGTTAATTTTTGTTGTACCAAGAGCTATATAAACCAATTGAAGACTAACCCTATGAATCTCATTTTATTTTTTCATTGTGAAGATATTTTTTCATTAATATAGCAACTGCCACAGCTTGACAAGTGCTGGAAGACTACAATGATATTCAATCTTGGACCACCGTCAGTGCAGAGTTAGCCCGTTATTAAAGTGTCAACCTAAGATGCTGAGGACCAGACCACTAAACATGGTTACACCACTGGGTGTAGGCAGTGGCAAAAGGTGTTATATTATTTGGTACCAGTGGCCAAGGATATGACCCTGTTGCAAGGGGATGTTACAATCCTAAATGTTATTACTGCCATAATTCACATTACCATGATGACTATTGAAAGTTTAGCGAAAAATAAAAGTTGCTGTGAATATAATCATAAATCAATGTTTATATTTTCTCAGCTGAGCTTGCATGGATACAAGTTGATTTCATTGACATTGAATTATTCTTCAAATAGGCAATTTATTATGAAACTATGCCAGTAATATATAAGGAGGAAGTGGTTTTATTACTTTTATTATCAGTTTATTTTATAATGTGAATCTTTTCATGTACGTTATTGGTTATTGTACCGAGGCCAAGGGTTAGCCTACTGGCAGACATCACTCAGAATTTAAGGTTTCTTTTTTAGGATTATAATATAGGATGACCCTTCGATTTTTTAGGGTGATTTTTGGGATTTAAAGGTTGTCTTAGAAATGGAAATATACAGTATATTTAACAGTGTTTATGGTTTCCTTAGATTTTATTGGAAATAATTTTGTGGCTTTTGATTTCATATTTTAAATTTTTTTATTGATGAAAGATAAATGTTCATCTTTCAGAGGTCGACTTCTTTATTTATATCCTCACACTGATCGGTTCCTTTGCATTGGGTGTAGAGGTAAGTCTATTCAAGTCTAACAATAATTTACATTTACTTATTTTACTTACATCTTTTTTTTAATCATTTCACCCCAAGCAAAGTAATAAAGCCACTAAGATACAAAGGGTTATTGAATGTGAAAGAATATAAGAAAATGAAAAACATTATTAAAGAGAGAAGACAATAAAAGAACAGGAATTAAGATAAAAGATAACAACTGACATTGCATTTAAATTTTTGAAAGATAAAACTTGACTGAAAAGCAAGAGGCTGGAAGAGACTTTGACAAGCAAGAAGCACAAGAGAAGAAACTGTTAGCATAGAACTTATGGTTACATTTAGCCATTTCAACTGTAAAATGATGAGACCTAGCTGCCAATCTAGTACTGTGTTTAAATTTGTAAAGTGTAGTTACCAAAGAGGAAAGCAATATTTATTTTGAATAATACAAAAATGTGGCACAAGGCCAGAAAGGGGTATAGGAGAAGGCTAGTCTTCAATCTGTCTTAAACTTAGCAAGCCACAATTATTGACCCAAGCATACCAACAGTATCCCTTACACCACCATTCTTTCTTACCATTTTTATTACAGTCACCATAATACCTCAAAGTCTCTGTAGTCATGATTAGTTCCCATATGTGCAATTTGTCTTGGGAGGGGGATGAATAACGATAACACCATTAAAAAAAATAAAACTCGAATGAATATTTACAATTTATATACAAGAAACTAAACAAAAGAGGAAAGCCCATCAAAACAATTACCATGAAAATATTTATAGAAAAGGTACAGGGAAGCTGACATTATGGTGGTGAATCCAAGATGCCAGGATCAGTAACATTGCAGATTCGTCTTTCTAGTTTATCAAGAATCTCTAAATACATAGCAGAAGAACCAGGCCAAATGTGGCAGCAGTATTCAATGGACTCCTTCTCTTTCACTCCCACTAACCCCTTTCATCTTAGTGGCATTATACCCTTGCTTGGGATGAAATGATTAAAAAAAATAATACAAATATGCAGAAATGGGATCATTATAAAAAAAATAATGCACAATCTATTGGTTAAAATAAATACTGTACACTTTTATTTGATTAGTTGAAAATGTATTTTTGACCAATTGTCTGACTCTTTTTTTTCTATTTCAGTACGGTATTCTTATTGGTATTGGTTTATCTTTATTTCCATTGTTGTATCCGTTGTCTCAGCCAGACATTCAGGTAAGCTTCTTTAAATGAATCTTCTATTAAACATTACTTTAAGGAACAAAAAAACTATGACAAAATGGAAATGTTTTTTGTGTGACAGGTTTCATATTTTAGGACTTCATCAGACTAAAATGATATTGATGTGATTACATATGTGCATGGAAAGAGGATGCTGAGAATTTTAAATTTAAATTTTATTTTTTTTTATTTTTTAAATATATGTTTTGGGTATATAATCTAGCTGATTTCATTTAGTTTCTTTATATATATATATATATATATATAAAGAAATATAGTCTTAAGATGTGTTATATTTATGGGATAAAGTGCTCAATATCAGAGATAGAGCGTGTGTAAATATAAAAGTGAACATAGAAGTCAACACTTAGAGGTGACAGTCTGTTTCATGCTAGATGCAATTGTCAGGCCACGTGGCAATTGCATCTAGCATGAAACACTGTCACCTCTAAGTGTTGACTTCTATGTTCCTTTATTTATATATATATATATATATATATATATATATCCCTCCCTCCCCATTCTTTTGAATGGGAGTAGATGTTTATCCCTTGTTTCCTGTTTAGGATTGGATTTTTGATTCCTTTTGAAGTCTTTTCCTTATCTTGCACTTCTGCATTATCACCTTGCTTGGGGTGAATTAATTCAAATAATATTTAATATAATGGCATCATGCCTTAAATGTATACGTGAAATAAAAGATTAAAGGTCTATAAAAAATGAAAATGCTTTTGATACGTGATAAGTCCTAATATATAATGATAATATTAATAATATAATGGAGTCAGTCTTTAGTTGTGTGGATAAAATAAGCTTTGGGGGAAAGTTTTTTTTTTTTAAAAAAAAAGAAGTCCTTACATTGCCATTATTATAATTGCTCATTACTTAAATGTGTGTATTCAAAATACCTATATTGTTAAACTCTACTGATATATGATGCCTTGTAACTAAAGAAACTAATATATGATGCCTTGTAACTAAAGAAAGAGAAATTTCTTTATCACCATGACAAGAGTGAAATTATATAAAATTAGTTGACTCCAAAAACATTTTTTTAGAAAAATTGTAGTCTCAAATTCCTTCCCAAACTTTCTGAAAAAAAGTATCATAAATCATATGAATTCTATATTGGCCTCTTAATTACTGTTGTTCCCAGGCCCCCCTAACCTGGTGTGGTAGCACCTGTTAGAGTTCCAGCTATGGGCAAATAGTAAACTCCCAAACAAATACAAAAACATGATGAAAGTATAAAAATACATTTTTCTATAAAAAAAAAAAAAGTTACCAACAATACCTATAATAAAATGCCCAACAGTACATTTTATCTGTAGTTGACAATTAAAAACTAAAAAATAAAATATTTAGATTTAGGCATTAAATAATCCATAGAGGTTGATATGCCAGCAAGCAAAATCAATCAACTAAAATTCTATATGATATGAAAAAACACTGTAATGGTTGAAATTGTAATTTTACTAAAAGCTTCCTTTATAGTAGTTATAAAGCTCTTAATATAGACTCTAATAACTTAGTACAATGCCAAATTGGTAGGCAGTGGAGATAAGTTGATTCTCTTCAATTGATGAAAAAAAATCCCTTAAAAATCAATGTCTGAAATCCTGCCATTGGACTATGTGCAACACTCATCTCTGACATGATGGAAAGCTACAAAATCATAATTGGTGTATTTGAAGAAGTGACTTTGTTGGTTTCAACCATCTGGGAATTATTGCTAAGAACATGCCCCTCCCCAAATTTATTGACATATCCTATAGAGGCATGCTGGGATTTATTCCTAACCAATAAAATTGGATCAATTCTTGGTTTTATCTGCCATATTGTTTTTTGTTCTTTCTTGAACTGAAGCCAGAACACTACAATCACTTGACTGTATCACTTTTGTATGTGAATACCACTCTTACTTTGTGAACTTTTTCCCCTTGTTACTGTTGCTTTGTCTTGCATATATATTGTTTGTTTACTATTATTTTCTTCTGTTATTTTTTTTCCTCTTCTTAATGTTTATTGGAAATTTTGTCAATTCTGTTGAGCATTTTGCTAATTACACTTAACCATAGCCAATTACTATACAGACTTAAAGCATTAAAATATTAGAAAAGGGATATAATGAATGTTGAACTTAGAAATATTCACCACCTCTTTCATTTTTGTTCTTTTCTTGTCAAGTTCAGTCAGAAGGAATCTATTAAGACAATAATTGTTACATTATGGCAGACATTTGTATCCTAACAAATGTCGCATGACAGTCTTAAAATGATTAACATTTTTTTTCAAATGCTGCTTGAGTTTTTTGGTTTAAATATTTTGTTTTTTAAGATATTTATGGATAACATTTTTAAAATATTTAAATATTAAATATTTGAGTTCAAATATTTTTTACATTTTCATCATTTTTATAACATTCCTAGTTTGAACTTTAAAAGGTCAATATTTAAAGTTCAACTTCAGTTAGAAATAGTTTTGTATAATTTCATAACTTGGTGAATGAACTTAAACAATACTCTATTGTCTTTTATCATTTTTATTTATGTTGAGGGAATTAAGCATCCATTGTCAAAGTGAAAATATTACAGACACTACCTACCTACTTCATCAACTCTAGTTGGGGTCATAATTCACAAATCATACCACAGTTATGAATTTTATAATCTTTTCAATGGCTATATAGTATGCAGGTCACTAGGTTGACCAACTTGTTTTTAATTTAGATTTGTCCTTCTCCTAAACTGGTTTCCAACCATGGCTAGAGAGCCCAGTTTGGTTTGCTATTTAACCCATAGATGAGGGTAGCAGAGATGGATTCATATCTTTCTGCAGGGTATTTGTGCAAAAGTGAATGTAACAAACCCAATAGGTATTTCAACCCACTTTTTTATAGGAATAGATAGGTTTGCCTATTGTCCAGTTCACACTCCTCCCCAGTGTTTTGAACAGGAGTAGAGGTTTATCCCTTCTTTCCTCTTTAGGGTTTATGATTCTTTCTAGAGTATTTTTCATTCTCCCTCATTCTGAATAGCCCTTTGTGTCTTAGTGGCATTAATGGACTTGCTTTGGATGAATTGATTTAAAAAAAAAAAAAAAAAAAGAAAAGAAAACTTTGTTAACTTTTCATTCTAAACCGCTAATCATTACACTACTTGTATATCCATTTACTGTACTACAAAAATATTTAACAATTACTACAAGTTTTGAAAATTATTAGATTATTAAAAAAAAATTGTGGATTTTATCTTTTTAAAAAAAAATTAACAATTTTTTTTTATTTTTATTACTTTCTAGGTCCCTATGTACATAATTTATATGCTTATTTTATTTATAACTGATCCCCAATTATACATTAAGAAAGACTTTTCTTTTTTTAGATACAAGATTCATCAATTCCTGTCATTTGGCTTGAATTAGGACTCCAGTTTCCAGCTTCTGAATACTTTGAAGACAGGATTATTGATCTGTTAAATACAAGTATGTCTGTTTTATTCTGTCAAGTATATTTGTGCCATATATATATAACCTAGCGTGATAGCATGGAAGAACAAACAAAACAACAGTACTGCTGGTGAGGGGAAAAGAAAATTGATTGGTTCATTTTCTACAACTTCTCAAACCATTACAGTTATATAAAGCAAGGAAATATTTTCAGATTGTAAGGATTTCTTTTTTTTTTTTTTTTTTTTTTTTTTTTTTTGAGATAATGATTTAGTGATACAAATCTTACCAATTAACCTATAGATGTGGAGAAAAGTGGATTCATACCTTTACTAAGGGTATTTGCATGTAAGTGAATATAATGAACCCAACTGGAATTGGAACAAATCATAACAGCACAATGGACCAAAGTCGAAATCAGACTAATTTTGCGAGACTTAGGAACAAACGAGTTCCAGCTCATAAAAAGTCCAGTGAATGTGGGCTTATGAAAAACATTAGTGATGAAAGCCCCATCCTTGCGTTCAACAAGGACATCCAAAAAAGGGAGAGATCTATCCTTTTCAATCTCCATTGTAAACTTAATATATATATATATATATATATATCCAAGTTAAAATTTAATAATAAAGTAATATTAAAAATAGAGCATGAATAATATTATATATAGAAAAAATTACTTGACTGTAAATATCGATTTTTTGATGTTGTTTCCCCGACTTCGAAGTTTCTTGGAATTATTCTTTCTTCAAGGTGTTCGTTGTTTGAATGAGTTTATTTCCAATTTTTCAATTACCAATGCTCTATTTTTAATATTACTTTAATATTTTTTATATTGAGCACTATATGAAAATATATGTTTTGCGCTATTATCCATTACACCACCCACACATCAAAGCTTACAGCACCTGGTATTCTCAAGTGGTCACCCATCTAGGTACTGACCGGGTTTGACATTGTTTAACTTTGGTGATTGTATAGGAACTGTTTTTTCAATGTGATATGACCATGAAAAGAAAAGAAGACAGGAGTTGTAAATATAAAATTCTTTTGTATTGCTGATATAGCAAATATGAGTGGAAATTTCTCTGAATGTAGGAATAACACTTATGTCAACCAAGATTAGAAAAATAGTTGAAAATAACACAAAGATATGAAGAAGAGATTAAATTGCTTCTAAAATTAGTAATGTTAATGACAGTACTGAACTGTTACGTAATATCAGTCCTTCTATATGGCAGTGAATGCTGGACATTCTTCTCACAGATGAAGAAGAAACTTGAAGTAAGAAAAATGTGATTTTACAGAAGGTTGCTAGGAATAACATGGACTGAACATGCAAACAGTGACAATGTTTTGGAGAAAATGGAAACAAAAAGGACCTTTATAACTTAACATCAGGAAGATACAGTTAGGGTTTCTGGGGCATATAATAAGGGAGGGGGGCTTGGAAAATCTAATATTCACTGGGCAGATAGAGAGCAAGCGGGATACAGGAAAACAATACATAACATGAGCTTGAGTGAATGGATGGCAGAATAGGGCTTAGAAGAAATAACAGAAAGACAAAGTTTATTAAAAGATTATAAAAAATATAGGCCATCTCCTTTCGGTTGATGGCCCCTGCTGATAATAAGAAGAGTTTATTATAAACTGATAATTGGCATAGCCCGAAATTAGAAAAATTTGATACTCATGGAACGTATTGAACACAAAAAGGACAGAGAAAAATAATGCATAACTTAAGCAAGTTAGAGTAAATGGATGGCAGAACAGGTTTTAGGAGAGATAACAAAAAGACAAAATTTCCTAAGTGCTACAAAGGACAGGTAATTGTGGAGAGCTGTTATCACCAATGTTCCAAAGGGGTACAGCGCATGGAAGAAGAAGAAGAATGATTATTTTCAAGGGTATAGATAATAAAAAAACAATTTTTTATACACTTATTTCTTATTTCCTGATACAAACATCTAAAACTTGATGTTGTCATGATAATACAAGTGATGGGATTCGGGGGCGGTTGGTTTATACAAACTATTTACTAAAATTACACAAGTTTGCAGAACTGGTTTATTTACTTGTTTGTTGGTTTTTATCCATCAACAAAAAATTAGGAGTTTAAAAAAAAAATATAAATAAATAAATACAAGGAGAGATAGAGAAGCAGTTCGTAATTTCATAAACAGAAAATTTGGGATGTAAAAGAGTGAACCCATTCCTAAAAGTATAGGGTGTAAAAAAAAAAAAAAAAAATATATATATATATATATATATATGTATATATATAAATCAATTATTAAATGAATAAAAAAGAGAGATCCAATTCCTAATTTCATAAACAAAAATTTTGGATGTAAAAAGAGTGAACCCATTCCAAAAAATATAGGTGTAAAAAAAAAAATATATATATATATATATATATATATATATATATATATATATATATATATATAAATCAAATTAAATGAATAAAAAAAGAGATCCAATTCTAATTTCATAATCAATAATTTTGGATGTAAAAGAGTGAACCCATTCCTAAAAAATATAGGTGTAAAAAAAAAGAATAAATAAATAAATAAAATAAATAATTAAAAAACAGAAAGTAAGAGAATGAGTTCCTAATTTCATAAACAAAAAATTTGGGTAGTGCGAACCCATTCCTAAAAAATATTTAATCCCACCACCATTTAATGTCAGTGAAGCATTAACATACTAGACTTTTTGTTTGTATTCCTCCCTATTAACAGATATTTTTTTTTATTTTTTATCACTCTTCTCTTTTCCCAGCTTATTTAGTCATTCTGATGTCACTTAATTTCTTCCTTTTCTCAGCAAAATCCTTTACACTCTCCCTTTAGTGTACAGGAAGTCGGTGTCACTAGATTGGCAAGATTTAAGTCATTTAGTAAAGAAAGACATTTGGGATAGACACATTTTTTTCCCTTTTTTCCCAAGGCAGTGATGTAAGTGGATTTCTTGAAAACCTTTGAACAGCTATGGCTCTTTGTTTTCCAAATATTGGCTTTCTTTTCTTTTCATATTTTTCTTATCTTGATAGTGTCACTTCCTGAAAAGCAATTACTATATTTTTTCTCTTTTAATAAAATCTTGACTAATATTTGTTTGAACATTTATGGGAATGAGCAGCCTATGCTATTTGATTAACTGGGTCATCTCTGATTTGTTGCCATTGATGCTAATTGTGATGTCAATGTGTACACTGTTATATATATATATATAATTACACAGTGTTGCTACTCATTTATAAGAGGCACAGTGAAATAGTGGATAGCAGCTCAAATTGAGGAATCGGTGAACTGAATTCGAATTTTAGTTGAATCCATTACATTCACTTATGTGCTAATACCCTTGGGAAAGGTATTAATCCATTTCCTCTCCCTTTAGCCATGGGTAAATAGCAGGACAGACTGGGTTCTATAGCCTTGGATGGTAACTAGTCTAGGAGAAGGACAATTCTGAATTCAAAATTTGTGGAGGGTCATTTGGGGACATTGCGGCATCAGGTCTCTGTATTCGGCCCTTCAAAAAGTGTGGTTGGTTCTGCACAAAGCCTTCACCACTATAATCAAATCATATGTGGTGGTGTTTTGTCTGTCAGTTCCTAGGAACTGAGCTAATGACCCTTATACGTCGAATACAATGGGAGAGTTCACCATATATATATATATATATATATATATATATATATATATATATATATATGATAATTATTTTCTATTTTAAAAATATAGTTTCATTGATACATGGGAATTACCATGTTTTAAAACAAAAACTAAAATTTTAAATTTAATAATAAAATTAAATTTAAAATCCATAGCTTCATTTCATTCTCAAGTGATTTTTGGAAATTTTTGAAAAATAACTTTGGTGATTGTACAGGAACTGTTTTTTCAATGTGATATGACCATGAAAAGAAAAGAAGACAGGAGTTGTAAATATAAAATTCTTTTGTATTGCTGATATAGCAAATATGAGTGGAAATTTCTCCGAATGTAGGAATAACACTTATGTCAACCAAGATTAGAAAAATAGTTGAAAATAACACAAAGACATGAAGAAGAGATTAAATTGCTTCTAAAATTAGTAATGTTAATGACAGTACTGAACTGTTACGTAATATCAGTCCTTCTATATGGCAGAGAATGCTGGACATTCTTCTCACAGATGAAGAAAAAACTTGAAGTAAGAAAAATGTGATTTTACAGAAGGTTGCTAGGAATAACATGGACTGAACATGCAAGCAGTGACAATGTTTTGGAGAAAATGGAAACAAAAAGGACCTTTATAACTTAACATCAGGAAGATACAGTTGGGGTTTCTGGGGCATATAATAAGGGAGGGGGGGCTTGGAAAATCTAATATTCACTGGGCAGATAGAGAGCAAGCGGGATAGAATAAGATAAAATAGCTTAAGAATGGAATGGAGGTATGGATTTTAAATTTAATTTTATAATAATTTAAAATTTTAGTTTCTGTTTTGAAAGATGCTAATTCCTGTGTAGCGATGAAACCCTATTTTTAAAATAGAAAATAATCATAATATTATGCTCTACTGTTTTTGTATTGAGCACTGTTTTTTTAAAAATAGAAAATAATTACAAATCTTACTGTTCTTTCTTATTATCTTATATATATATATATATATATATATATTACAGTTTATTTATGGAAATCTAGGGTGTAGGTGTTGAATATATCATCAATCAGATAAGCGAGAAATTTTATTTGTATTAATCATCATAATGCTCTATTTCTGATATGGAGCACTTTATGGTAAAGGCTGCTTGCCTTAAATGTCTTTTCTTTCAGACTTCTACTGACAGTATTTCTGGCATATACATATTTGTTCAAGGTTATTATAATGGACACTTCACATTTGAAATAGATACCCCATTTTTTATTTATTAACCAGTGTATGTCAGTCTATTCAAGAAATCTTAGTGAAAGGATTGAACCTGCTTCCTTCTTTGTAGGAGAAACCACTATTTGATCTGGTGTGCTGTATTGCTCATCTACAATGAATGCCACATTTAAGCAAGGCTCTATTTTTTTTTATTTTTATTTAAGTAAAGTACATCATCTTCACTGAAATTAGTTTTTCTCAAAAGCCCATATCTTCTTAGTTTTGTATCTGAAATATAAACAAAGCAATTTTCAAAAACTTAATGGATTACTTCACATGTTCTTATAGTGGATACTCATATTTGAAATAGATGCCCAATTTTTATTTTAAACAGTGTGTATTACATTGATCAGCTGAGGGAAATAGTGTAAGTATAGGAATCAACATCGTATAATGACTGTCAGTTTCCTGCCTTAATGTGATTTTTAAACAATATATAAATTTGTTTTAATGTTCACTATGTTTATGGAGGCAGAGAGCTGAATATTGGAGATGAATGTTTTGGGTGCAGAAATCAACATAGCATGGTGTCTGTCAGTTTCATACCTTATGCAATATTCAGATCACATGTTACTACTCCTTTAGTGATCTCTCTCTCTCGCTCTCATTTTATCTCCTAAATTAGTCTGAAAAACAAAGAATGGAGAAAAGTTGGGAATACAATTAAGAAACTGAAGTTTTTCTCATTTCTTGACTGGCTCAACAAATAACTAAGTAACTCATAACAAAAGAATATTACTAGAATAATTATTCATTTCCAATTGTTATTCAGTCATTTACTTAATGTATATAGGCAGGCATGAAATATTTTCTTTTTGTCTTGTAGCAGAATTTTGAGGGGATAAAATTCAATACAGCCACTGCACATCTCAAGAAATCTTTCTTCATGCCATGTAATGACTCGTAAAACCCATTCCCTAGTCACATGCAACACTTGTTTATATCTAGGTCAAGAAGTCAGTGATTGGTTGAGGTGACCAAAAGTTTACATGACATTCTCATTTTTAAACAAGAGTCATGTTCGCTTTTTCTTCCTTTTCCTACATGGGATACATGCGACACACTGTCACTTGGTTTGACAATGTAAGTCGCCATTTTCTTCACTACAAGTCCGTATTGTAAAAGTTATTAAAATTGAAACATTTACACTCCATTGGTCCCATCTTATCAATGGTTTCACTTTCCACAATTTTCAAAGAAGGCTTGAGACTGGAGATCCATACCATGAAACAGCACCTCTCTTCTTTTGTACTTAAAATTGTATGACCAATAGAATGACTGAATATCCAGTTTTTTGCAAAATCACTTTAAAAGAAATCTCACTATACTTTGCTTTCTGTGGATTTACAAAATAAATACTTTAGGCATACCTTGGAGGTATTGTATGTTTTTTTATTTTTTTTTTTTATTTCTAGAGCATCACAGTAAAACACATATTGCAATAATATAAGTCATGCAGTTTTGTTTGGATTTCCAGTGCATATAAAACTCATGTTTATTCTTTACTGTGGTCTGTTAAGTGTTTGATTTGGTTTGTTTTATGACATATCAACCTCAGTGGGTTATTTAATGCAGACAATTTTTTTATTGTCGGTAATATTTTTTTTCCAAAAGTGTATTGCTAGTAATAATTTTTTTTTCAAAAATGTATTGCTTGTATTTTTACTATAAAAACCTATACTTTCATAGTGTTCTGACCCCAGTTCTGGGGTTAACTATTTGCTTGTAGCTGGGAACCTAACAAGTACTACCACACCAGGTCAGGGTAGATCTGGGAACAACAGCAATTAAGAGGTGGTTACATGCTCCTGCTGATTGGAGGCTTTGCTGCCAGATGTAGTTTATTGTCATACCCGGGTCACTCTGTTAAGTGTGTAAATGACATTAGGTTAAAAAGTAAAGAAACATTTTAAAATGAAGATACTTTCATTTAATGATATTACTAAAAAATTCTAAACATTATCTGATCCTTGCATAATCTTTTTACTATTGAAGGGTTTTGATGTTGATGGCTGCTGACTGATCAAGGTCATGGTTTCAGACAACCTTGAACTTTGTGGCATGAGCTCTTGCTTTCATAAGAGACTTCTCTGTAACATGCAATGCTGTTTGATAGCATTTTACCTACAGTAGGACTTTTTCAATATTGAAGTCCATCTTCTCAAACCCTGCTGTTGCTTTAGTGACAAAGTCTATGTGATATTCTAAATCTTTTGTTGTTATGTCAACAATGTTCCCAGTATCTTAATTTGGAGTAGATTTCATTTCAAGAAGCCACTTGAGAGATATCTATCACTTCTTTTCATTTGAACTTTTAAAGCCTATTGTGTGATTATTAATTGGGCTAATTTCAATATAATAATAATTTTAAATATTACATGAATGATCAAAATATGGCAAGCATAGTCACAAAATAAACAAATGGCACAGATTTGATCAATGCACCATTTTCAGAAACCTTTATTTCAAGCAACAACTTGATAGTCCACAAGCCATTTACACAGGCTTCTTTTGGTAGATTAATCACTGCTACTCTTTGCCCTCCCTGCCTTCAACATGTCTTGTGAGTATCAAATTCTCCAAGCTCCCTTTTCTCATTATGTGCCCTAGACATTTCAGTTGTCTCTTTCTGATTTTAAGTATGTGTCCTTTTTGTTTTCATTTTCCTTAAAATTTCCATCATTGCTTTCATGGTATTCTCAGCATCCTTTTGTAGAACCACATTTCTTTGTCTCAAATCTTCTCTTCATCTATGAGGAAAATTTTACAGCATTCACTGTCATATAGAAAGACTGATATAAGATAGCAATTTATATAAAATAAATGCTTTTTTTTTTTTTTTACATTATTAGGCTATGAACTTATTGATTTACCTAAATTCTATACCTGAAAGTGCTTTCTTTTATTTTGTCAGGTGGAAGACCACAGGCTGTGATCATTGATTGTAAAAATGTTTTTCGCCTTGATTACACAGCAGTAAAGGTATTTTCTTTTTCCTGAATAAATACATTTTTCATATTGACTTTAGGTCCAGTTTCACTAGATCCCCCACCTCCAATTCAATGTATCGTCTTTGAATGAAGGATAATCTTGAATCTAAAATAAATGCTTACCAAGTGAAACAGCTGCCTTGCAGGAATTCAAACCAGCAACAAATTAACGCGCGACTGCATTGACCTTATTTTCAGATTTTTGTTTGCTTTACTCTTTCTCTGAATCTTGCCAATTCCATTTTAGGATTGGTTTCAGGAAAATGGATGATTCACTATGGGTAAAACATTTTCATGATGGAAGCAAAACTGACTTCTCTTTATTGTTACCATTAAATTGAATGAATAATATTGACATCTACAAAAGTGCATCAATAAGTTAGAAGCCTGGTACAGTTATTAGCTGAATTTTGACCTTGAATTTTTACTGCATAATGTTCAGTGATCATAATGTTCCTTATATGTTCATAATGTGATTAAAGATTGGGTTAAGTTCATTGCCAAGAAAAGAGAATATGTTGAAAAATACTTGTATGAAATGTTTTGCCATTAATCTGTAGACATTAATGGACTTGTTTATTTTTTTGTGTGTGTAGGTGCATGTGTGTGCGTTTATATATATATATATAGGTGTTTTGAAAAGAAACAATGACAACAGAATTTTGCCTCATGAAACTATCTCAGAAGAAACCCTGTTGCAAGTAGGCCAGTGTTTCTGATATTTTAACAAACTTTAGGAGCAGGTTCCTCATACCAAAACAAGGACAAAAGTCCATATAAACATATGTCCACAAATCTTTCATTTTTGAGTTATTAAGTTTAAAGAAAGTTTACAGTAGATGACACTGTTGCCATGTAGACTAGGTTACATTTGTCATTCTTGTACATTTGTGACTAGTCTGTCTTCAATGTTTAACGTGTGTAATGGTGAGAACTGAGAAGTATTCCATTTAACAATGTCAGGATATTCATATTGTCAGATATAATTTTTGCATAGGGTCACATGAATGGTAATGGGCACAAGGTTGCATGGCTGTATCAGATTGCGTTCCCAGACTGAAGGCACCGAGTCATCCAACCTTTGTTGCTGTTTATCATCACATTGCTGAGAGAAGATCCATGTCACCACAAACTATAGATCAACAAAAAGACCAAGATTCACTTGTATGCCTGGCCACGAAGAACACATTCTACAGGCTGTCGGAGACAATCCATATATCAGCATACATATCATTCTACCACATGGAGTGTACTTCAAGAGCAGGTCCTGTATCCGTATCATTTGCAATGTGTGCATATACTAATCACTCACCACAGGAGAACTTTTGCTGATGATTTTTTGAAGAAACTGCTGATCCATTGTTTGTCTCTTCAGTTTTGTTTCCCAAGAGACAACATTTGGAAGAGATGGAATAGCAAATTTACACAACCAGTATTTGTGGGTGGATCAGAATTACTATGGTATATTACAATCTAGAAACCAGTATCAGTTTGCGATTAATGTATGGACTGGAATTGTAGGTGACTGCCTGGTAGGTCCATATGTTCTCCCAGCACAGCTTACAAAAGCTGTCTAGAGGAACTTTATTTCAAACAGACTTCCAGAACTGCTAGAGGATGTACTCCTGCTAATATGAAGACATGTGTGATTCATGCATAATGGGGCTCCAGCATATTTTAGTTGCATTGTTTGTGAGGCACTGGCTGACATCTACTGTGAAAGATTGATAGGTAGGGGAGCACTGGTTCTGTAGCCTACACGTTACCCTCCCCCTAACCTGAATCCTTTGGATTTTTCTGTGATGCTACATAAAACAATTGGTTTGTGCATCAGACATTAATAATGCAGAGATGCTTCATCAATGTGTTATGGGGGCCTGTGAAAGCATTTGACACCTTGTAGAGTATTTAAAAGGGTCCACCAGTCAATGATCCAATGGATTCATGCATGTGTAGAAGCAAACATAGGACATTTTAAACATTTGTTATGTGTTGCTGTGTTGAGGTACAACGATGGCCTTTTGAACATATGTTTATATGGACATTTTACCTTGTTTTGGTGTGAGGGACCCACCTCCAAAGTTTGTAAAAGTATTTTTGATACATCCTGTATATGCATACATGTTACTTTCTGGCAATGAGACCCAGGTTTCTATCTCAAGATGGTCAGTTTTGTCAGAGAAGTAAATTCATGGTGTTATAGGCTTATGGAAGTAATACCAGTTTACAATACTATTGAAAAGATCATTTTGACCCCAATGCCTTTTAGATTTGCCTATGCTCTATCTCTGATATTGAGCACTTTTACCCATAAATATAACATACCATAAAACTATATTTTTATCACATATATATATATATATATATATATATATATATATATATATATGATAGAAATTATTAGGGGGATTTGAGATAATCATAATTAAGTAATTCATCGAGTTTAGAAGAAACGTCAACTGAATGCAGAAAGCACTGGACAGCAGTTTCGTTCTATATGTGAGACTCATCAGCATTATGCATCCACTACTGAGGATTGAAACCCGGACAGTTATGATACGAGACAAACATCATACCAACTGTACCAACAGGCCTTGGTGTTGAAGAAGTAACAAATTAAACTCAATATAGCACTGCTTAAACACAAATTCCATGGTGAAACTTATATATATGGGTGTGTGGCTTAGTGGTTAGAACATTTAGTTTCCAAACATGAGACCAAAGTTTGAATTTCACCATGGTCAAATTTGTCAAGGAGTTGGTTTTTGATGTTTTTGGCCTCGGGAAGTGATTACAGATTATACACTCTCTCCCAGAAACTTTAATGAAGACCCCCTCAGCATAGTTACAGTATAAACCACAGGTGGGCTCTGTGTATGTTGAACAAAGAAGGTGTCTGCAACAGGAATTGGGTAGCTGCCCAAGCAGATGGGTACGCTTAGAAAATGAGTAATATTTCTTTCGTTTTTTTTCTAAATCATTTATGGGATTTTTTAATCTGACATTATTTCTTATTACTATAAATGTTATGTTTGTTCTGACTCATATCCTGATGATTACAAAAAGAATTCAATTTAACTTACTCAGTCATTTAAACTGCATTCATTTATTTATAAAACTGCTTTTGATCCTTTGGTTCAATCTATAAAATGTGGTTCTTGTTTTAAAAATTTAGGATAATGCTATTCTTAGATAATTATCATTATATATTTTGATTTTAAAAAAATTATATTTTCATTCTCTTTCCATCACAATAATTTATAGCCAATACAGTGACTGGCATATTTAGTTTAAAAGTTAAATTGTCAACTAGGAAAAAATAATATTAACTTTATTTATATTTTTATTTTAATTGCAATACAGGGTGATGGAAAATTAGGTATACAGCAATGAAAAGCAAAATATATGCATTATACAAATATATTAATAATAAACATATGAATTCCTCAAATGTTCAAACTGTTTGCCAGCATCATTCACATATTTCTGTTTACCTGCAAAACATTTGTTATTATTTATTAAAAAATAAAAAATTATAATAAATGTATTATAATAAAAATTATGACAATAAAAATATTAAAAATGATTTTGATGAATTAAATGAATCCTAGAACCACTATTATAATACTGATATAATATTTACTATATACCTACTTTTGCAGCCCTGCATCTCTTCAGGACGTAGGTGACCCTGCCTCTTCATAGATTCCTTTTCTTTATTATCTGCAAATTGACATGGTTTCTTGGGAAAGACAATTAATTCCTGTTGTCTTCTCCATAGTTTTGCATTAAAAGTTGTCTTCCTTTTAAACTGGCTGCCATCCAAAGCTATAGAGCCTAGTCTACTCTGCTATTCAATCCATAACTTTGGTGAGGGGAGAAAAGATCAATTCATGCCTTTCTCAAGGGTATTAGTGCAAAGATGAATATAACTGACAAGGCCAGAATTTGAACTCTGCTCACAAATTTTACTTTATATGCTAATGATCAATGCACAATCTATATTGTCTTTACTTTCAACAAATGATATAAAATTTTAAATCTTTGAAAATTTCTGGTTCACCTCCACCTTGTGTGTGTAATAAATAAAGGGGGTGCTGCAAAGTACTTGGGCCAACTGAATATCTAAGATTCAGTCATTTAGTTAAATTTCAGGAAGTGGGTAAGAAAAATTAAACCCCCCAGATATATATAATATAAAACAACACAACATGACAATACAAACTCTCCTCTTACTATGACAATGTGACATGTATAAATTCACTTTTTATGTTTAGGCTTTATTACAATTCTAATCATTGCTTTTTAAAACAATAAACATTGCTGAAGAGTGAAGGTAGTTAAAATATAAATGGCGTCATGGGGAAAAAAACATCCTTTTGACATTATGTCTTATAGTGGGCACATTTATCCATTAACCTTTAATTCACACACACATATCATGTATTTAGGTAGCAATCCTTCATTTATACATATTCATTAAAGATGACAAACAAAGTACTGCAATTAAGCTTTTTATTTAATTTTTCTTGTGTTCAAACAAATGTTTTCTTTTTTGGACAGAGAGTGTGCAAAAAATGTTCAAATGTTCTGTAATTCAAAGTGCTTTCAGCTATACTTTTAGCCATTATCAAGGATGATTTTATTTTTGCTTTTTAATTGGGTGTATAGGTTGTGTGTATGTTTCTAGAGTTATAGTGATGTTTTATTTTTTGAACACAGTCAGCACATTGTGGTCGTGTTCATAGTTAATTTTATTAAGTGTTGATTTTTTCTTTTTTATTATTAAGGCTTCCATTATTTTTAATCTTTTTTTACATGTGGATGAGGTTATTATATTTGTATTTTTTACTAGCATCTTTCGGGTGGAGTCTGGTAAAGTTTGAGTGTGTGTTTAAATGGGTTCTAATGGAGCTGTGGTCAGATAGGTGTAACATAAGGCATCTGGATAGGTATGTAGTAGTGTGACCGATGTGATTATTTATGAATTCA